TCCGAGTGGTCTGTTGGTTCACTATAATCAAATTATCTCGGCCAAATGAAACCGGAGGTGGATTGTAAAGGTACCTCGGTAAAGTTCGAACTCTGCCCTTTCGCGCGATACCACTCATGCGGTTGGTCAAAATACCAAACAGCTTCAAAAAGTGCGGAAAAGACATGCGTGTGCTCGACCGGCTAGCGTGCGGCCGGGGAGGGCGCTAGAGGGTCCTTTTTGACGAAAATAAGCTTAAAATTGCCATAGTGAACAATAACTTGTAGTAAAAGGCCTAAAAACCGCAAAATAGAAAGGAAACTCTCCCCCCACCAGCATAAAACGTTTTCTAAGCAGAAGGGTGGGTTGAAGTCGCGTTGCTTCACCGTTACATCCCTTTATCGAGTCTTCGGGGCAAACTTAGACCCGCCACATCATTCGATCATTCAACTTCAACTTCAATCATGGTCTTCAGCAAATCGTGTGACAGAAACGGTCGGGCCCCAGTCCCGAGCGTCGCCGCCGGCAGGCCAAGCAGGAACGGCCCCTGCCGAACGGAGTTGCCGGCGCAGCGAAGCGGAGCTGGCAACTCCGTTTGGCGGAAGGGCGGGCCTGCTTGTTTTGGAAGTGTACCGAAACTAGCACTATCTCTCGGAGGATGCACGAACTGTTTGCGGAGAAACAGCAATACACCTTGACGATAACCGGAGCTCGGATACTTATTTTAAGTTACCTTTACGTCGTTCTCAGAGTCCGGTACGAAAGGTCCCACCCTAACACTTCGAATACACTTCGATAACACTTCGTTACGTGTACCTACCTCGTCACCGCTTCGCTTACACTTCGTTGACAGTTATCTATGGATGTAAACAACAACATTTTGAAGCGCCATTGAAATCGGACTGTATCACAGGAAAACCTTCCCTTCTAAGGATACTGCTAATGAAGTTTAAGACCAGGTTGATCAAAATTTAAATTTAATTAATCCAGTAGATGCTGAGTTAGAAACCAAAGCAGATGTAGAACAAATGCTGATAGCTGCACGGAAAAAAATATGTTATCTATTCCAGCACAACGTTTGCTAGGACAACTAACGTGTTTGCTGTCAGCGTGACAAGCAAGGTGTTCGACCAAAACAACATATGTATTTGTTGAATATGCTTAATTCTTAGTTGTGAGAAACGAGAAAGTATGTTTCTTGTAGCTAAATGCCCCTAAGCTCGTGTGACTAAATTTTCTTATCTGTGTTGGCTGAGGCAT